TACCAAAGAATATAAAATGCATTAACAAAAAAATAAATAAAAAATTTAAAGCCATAGATTTGTTTGTGAGTTGTATTATAGTTAGTGTTTTCAGTATAAATGTTGTGCTGTATAGAGTCAAAGTTTAGCCAAAGCCAAACGTTGGGAAAAGGCTCAGAGAGCCACCCTGGAGGCTGCACCAACCGGGAACCTGCAAGGCAACAGAGAGGGGCTAAAAAAACATACAGGAGGAACTGTTGTAAAGTGAAATATCTTTCTGTATCTATAAAATGGTAAAAATTGTACTGCCTCCATTTGCAACAGTGATATTTCTTTCTTTATTCCTAGATAAATCTTGTCTTGAAAGGTAGTCACATACCTTTGCACGCTGGCCTCAGCTACACACACAAGCCACATAAAGAATTTGAGGCCTCGATTCTCCTTCTGTTTGTGTATGAGTGTGTGTTTTTTTTACTCTCTATCCATTTACTGCTTGTCTTTATCTCTGCCTGCTATTGAATAGAGAGAATGACAGCTTGGCTTGAAAAAAAAATCTCTTATTGTAGCTGTTGACAGTTGAGCTTATTCTGCATAATGGTCTTGAAATAGTTCATGACGAGTAGTTTCAGCAGAGACGGAGAGCTTGGCATGACTACTCAATAAGCACTCAGTCTACGGTGTAGTGACACATCTTGCACAGTGAAAATAGGGAGTTAATGAAACCACTCGCACCCAGATAGAGAGTCAAGTGATTCACACATTGCCGATAAATGCAATTGTAGAGAAGAGTTCAATTGCTGTCTCTAAAAGCCAAAGGCCTTCAACAGTAGCAGGCGTATTACACTTGGCATGTTATGAACACCCCTCTTCTATGTGACTGCCTCTCTGTTATATCTTTCACTTGTAGCTACAACTATGTTTCATCTGCCTTTTCTCTGCCCTTTGTCTTGTTTCAGAGCTTTCTCACCCACTTGTCCATTGGAACAACCAATAATAATCTGAAAAACTTTGCTTAGCTGTAGGTTAGGGTACAGCGAACATGTAAAAGTTGGTCACATCACATGGTGTCCCGTCATTCTTTAATTAACACTCAATGGACACTTTTAATATGGTGTAGAGCAGAGGTCCCCAAACACTGGACTGAGGACGCACCTCACTCTCGCACCCAACTCAGTCTTGTTTTACTTTTTCCATACATCAGTGCATCTGTAAGCCAACTCTTGTGGCTAGCTATAAAGCAAGCTCAGGGCTCCCACAGATCCTGCATTATAGTAAATTATCAACTAGTATGATAACATAATAGGTATTGATAATGCATTTTATAAAGTGCTGGTGTAGCATACATGGATTCTACATAAAAATATGTATCCACTGTAACATCACCAGATGATTTGTGGACCCCTGTTCACTTTCAGTCCATTTGTGCGGTACTACATATACAACATTGGACATGCATGTCCTGGCTTAAGACGGATCAATTCACGCTTTTAAAGCAGCTGACCTGTTGTGACACTCGTGAGCCCCTGCCTTCACATATTTGCCCTGTCATCATAGTTATCCATTAGTTTAATACCAGCCTGGCTTGTTTTGGTTCCTCTCCTTCGGGGAGCAGAAGTTATAGTGATAACATTTTGTTTTATAGTATAGTATAAAAGCTATTGCCATTTTTTTTAACCCAGGACTGAACTTGGATGAGAACATGTAGTGCAAAGTTATTGGCTAGCACTAGTTATGAGAGCATGAGCTGCATTGTACAAAAAAGGATACTAAGTCCTAACATGTACAACACTAACAGGCTAAATAAGTAATTAATAGCATTCGATTAAAAAGTACACATAACCAGTCTGTTTACGTGTTCTTTCAGTACAGTTGAGCTCACTTTAAGTCATATATTTTATTTACTCGAATAAAGTATAAGTAATCCTACCTATAATAGGAAGCCTTTTAGCTAGGACGTAAACATTTTTATTTCTGCTGGAAGGTTTGGAATTCTAGCACATATTGTATATAGAGCCCAGACAATTTAAAAGGAAACAAAGAGAAACAAAATGGTAGCCTCTCTGTCACACTCATTCTGGTCTTGTCTTACCATGTTCCCCTCTGTTTTCACAGTGATTAATAGAGACCTTAAGTCCACCGTGGGGTCCTCCAAGAGCTTTGATTAAAGGCCACTGCACCTGTCAGTCTTAAACACACATTTTCAGACACACAGAGCAGCAAGGCAGACAAAGGTGACCTGAACATAGACCCAGCCATATCTCTCCTCAGATAAACACAGACACTCAGGTAATCAATTGAACACTGAAAGCAGTCACAGGGGTCAATGTCATAGTCATAGATTACACAGGAGTTCTGCAAACTTTGCGGCAGGGCTCGGTGACCACATTGCACTGTTTTGTAAATCAATGTGCAAACTGTGACCCTGACAAGTTAAGAAGTTTAAGCTCTTTTATTTATATATATATATATATATATATAAATTCCCCACTCGCCCCTGTGGGCGGTCAATCCTTCAACCTCTACCAGAGGCCTGGGAGCTTGAGGGTCCTGCGCAGTATCTTAGCTGTTCCTAGGACTGCACTCTTCTGGACAGAGATCTCTGCCGTTGTTCTGCTGGAGCCACTCGCCTAGCTTGGGAGTCACTGCACCTAGTGCTCCGATTACCACTGGGACCACTGTCACCTTCACCCTCCACATCTTCTCGAGCTCTTCTCTGAGCCCTCTGTATTTCTCGAGCTTCTTGTGTTCCTTCTTCCTGATATTGCTGTCATTCGGAACCGCTACATCGACCACTATGGCTGTCTTCTCATGTTTGTCTACCACGACTATGTCCGGTTGGTTAGCCACCACCATTTTGTCCATCTGTATCTGGAAGTCCCACAGGATCTTAGCTCGGACATTCTCCACCACCCTTGGGGGCATCTCCCATTTTGACCTCGGGACTTCCAGGTTATACTCGGCACAGATGTTCCTGTACACTATGCCGGCCACTTGGTTATGGCGTTGCATGTATGCCTTGCCTGCTAACACCCTGCTGTTATGTGCTGGATTGTCTCTGGAGCATCTTTACACAGCCTGCACCTAGGGTCTTGCCTGGTGTGACAGACCCCAGCCTCAATGGATCTTGTGCTCAGTGCTTGTTCCTGTGCTGCCATGATTAGTGCCTCTGTGCTGTCTTTCAGTCCAGCTTTGTCCAGCCACTGGTAGGATTTCTGGTTATTAGCCACCTTCTCTATCTGCCGGTGGTACATACCGTGCAGGGGCCTGTCCATGCATGGTAAGGAGCTTTCTTGTCTTGATGTCAGTGGCTTCTATCTCCTCCTTTGGCCAGCCTATTACCCCAGCAGGGTACCTGATCACGGGCAGGGCGTAGGTGTTGATAGCCCGGATCTTGTTCTTACCGTTCAGCTGACTCCTCAGGACTTGCATGACCCTCTGCAGGTACTTCGTGGTGCAGCTTTCCTAGCGGCCTCTTCATGGTTCCCATTTGCCTGCGGGATCCCCAGGTACTTGTAACTGTCCTCTATGTCTGCAATGTTGCCTTCTGGTAGTTTGATCCCCTCAGTTCTGACTACCTTCCCTCTCTTTGTTACCATCCGACTACACTTCTCCAGCCCGAACGACATTCCGATGTCATTGCTGTATATCCTGGTGGTGTGGATTAGTGAATTGATGTCTCATTCACTCTTGGCATACAGCTTGATGTCGCCCATGTACAGGAGATGGCTGACAACTGCTCCAGTCGGTATCCGTAGCCAGTCTTGTCAATTATCTCACTGAGGGGGTTAAGGCCTATGCAGAACAGCAGTGGGGACAGAGCATCTCCTTGGTAGATCCCGTACTTAATGGTGACTTGTGCTATGGGCTTGAGGTTGGTCTCCAGTGTTGTCCGCCACATAACCATTGAGTTCCTGATGAAGGCTCTCAGGGTCCTGTTGATCTTATATAGTTGTAGGCATTCCAGGATTCAGGTGTGGGGCAGTGAGTAATAGGCCTTCTTGTAATCAATCCAGGCAGTGCACAGGTTGGTCAGTCTGGTCCTGCAGTCTCAGCTGACTGCTTGGTCTGCCAGTAGCTGGTGTTTTGCGCCTCTGGTATTCTTGCCCATCCCTTTCTGTGCCCCGCTCATGTATTGACCCATGTGCCTGTTCATCTTAGCCGCTATGATGCCTGACAGGAGCTTCCACGTGGTACTGAGGCAGGTTATTGGTCGGTAGTTGGAGGAGACTGGTCCCTTCTGGGGGTCCTTTAGGATCAGGATTGTCCGGCCTTCGGTTAGCCATTCTGGGTGTCTCTCGTCAACTAGCAGCTGGTTCATTTGTGCTGCCAGGCGCTCGTGGAGTGCAGTCAGCTTCTTCAGCCAGTAGGCGTGAACCATGTCAGGGCCTGGTGCTGTCCAACTCTTCATACTGGAGACCCTTTCTTGGATATCTGCCACTGTGATGGTTACTGGACCCTGTTCGGGGAGGTCGCTGTGGTCTGCTCTCAGATCCACTAGCCAATGAGCATTGCCGTTATGGGTTGCGTCCTTCTCCCATATGCTCTTCCAGTATTGTTCTGCCTCCAGCCTTGGTGGTGCTGTTCTCATATTGTTCCCCTGCCACTGAGAGTACACCTTGGCTGGTTCTGTGGAGAACAGCTGGTTTATTCTCCTACCTTCTATCTCTCTGGTGTACCTCCTCAAGCGGCTGGCCAAGGCTGTGAGTCATTGCTTGGCAGTTTCCAAGGCCTCAGGTATGGACAGCTTCCTGTACTTCTTAGGCACCTTCCTCATCGTGCCTTTCTGGAACTCTGATAGTTGGCTAACCTCCCTCCGTGCTACCTTGATCTTAGCCTCTAGCCTCCTTCTCCATGGAGGGTACTGCCCCTTGTGGCTGTTCAACTTGTAGCCAAGCATCTCACTGATCACTGCTGCTGTATTGTAGATCAGCCTGTTAGTGTTGGTAATCGTGGCTGTAGGTATTATCCTTGGTGCTGCATTAACATCATCTAGCAGACCTTCTGAGGGTACTTCACGTAACGGCTTACAGCACTTGGTATTCCCAGGTAGTCTCCGATCCAAGTACTAACCAAGCCCAACCCTGGTTAGCTTCCGAGATCAGACAAGATCGGGTGTGCTCAGGGTGGTATGGCTGTAAGGTATATATATATATATATATACACACATGTATGTAAATGTGTGTATTTATGTATAGTTTTATTTTTACCTTAATCTCTATGTACATCCGTATATCTGTTTAGTAAATATGTTTCCACAGCCAGTAGCAGAGTGGCTAAGTAAATGACTTTTAATCTTTCTTATTTAGCATATAGCATATTACAAACTGAAAGTAATTTTGTCTGGTCTGTGTGTGTGGGTGTGTAGCTGACATTGGTCACACTGCGTATTTTTTTTTGAGAGGAAATTGTTCTCTGTCATTTAGTTGGCAGCCTGGCAGAACTGCAATTTACTCTCTCTAATAGATACATCTGATTATGCACTGATGTCCGTGGATGCACACAATATGAGTACAAGGGATCACAAGGTGTTCACACCGCCACTATGCAGCATCAATCTTTTGTGTTGTTACGTCATTCCAATACAAGGTTGCCTCAGGGGGAGACATCTTCTGCCTTCATTCTTTCAAGCGCACATGCACAAATCTGTCAGACCCCTATGGTGGCTGCAGGCTTTGTCATATACTGGTGACAGTAACAGGATGATACATGTGTCAGCAAACTAATCGACTGCCACACGGCCACTGTGGACACTTGGATGGAACCCACTGGTGTCACATTAGCGTTGTCTTTTTATTTAAGGGTTAACATTTTTAAAAGGTACACTTTAAGTCAAAGCTTGAGTAGTTTTGGTGCTGAAACCTAGTGAAAGCGAACAAAAAATTGATTGTGTCCTGTGTGTAAGCTTTAATTTAGTTTCACACTGCATCCTACTGGTGACGTTCTTGTGATTTATGCTATCATCAGCTCACCGCTCTCCACCTAATGCGTCTTTGTCACTTTTTAAAAGAAGACCGTTAGCTCTCAGAATCAAATACTGCTGCGACTAGTGTATCAATGAACCTATGTACACCAAAGGACACCTTGTGCATATCTGAGATGCCAGCAGCTTTGACTCTATTTGATGTCCTGGGAAATGAGATGAGATTGCTAGAGCCAAACGTATGGCAAAGCTAACAACCTAAAGACGTACTGTATTGTTTAATTGCTTATAGTTCCTTTGGTTGCATTCGTATCTTTCTGACATTTGTTTTTAAGTCTCTTAAAGAACAGAAAAACACACTAACACGCACACACACATCCATACCAAATACTGTGACAGATGCTGGGCCAAAAGCAAGTCAACAATGTACAGTAGATGAAAAAAATGAACAGCTTGCACACTGCAGGACTCCAATTTTGCCTATTTATTGAACCATGAAAAATACGCACAGTTACAGGCCTTGTCCCCACACTGGTACATATATATGTGTATATATACATATGTACCCTTTGACATGCAGCCTAGGTGGAGGTGGGATCTAATTACTAACAATCCAAATAGAAGACAATCCATTCCATCTCCTATGCCTCTGAGGCCTCCAGCATCTACCAGTCAATCAAATCAGTGCTATGTTGTTATTCAGTATGACAGCAATACTGCTCATGTTAGCATAATTGGTCAGTTTTATCATTAAGAATCTCGTATTTATTTGTTACTATTGCCAACATGTATTGTTTAGCACTTTAGTACTACTGTTTGGAAGGCATGCTTGTGTGTGTACCCCATATTTGGATTCCTCAAACATTAAGACGAGCTGGTTTTATTGTTGAAGTATCATCTCTATTGTCAGTAACTCTCAAGTGTTTTTACACAGTTAAGACATCCACTAGTCTAAGCTCCTGGAAAAAAGAAATACTTAGTAAAATCTCTGACAGTTGCTGCCAGAACCTCTTTGTTCATTTCTGGCTGGAGATACATGGGACTTCTGACGCAGGTGGAATTTCTCAAGGTATTTCTTGAGAGATGTTACCGAGCAAAGGATAAGATGTTCATGTTCCTCATACACAGAATCCTTGTGATTTTTTATTGTTTCTCTCCAGTGTGTCGTTGTGATTGTTTTTTCACTGAATGTCACTGTGAAAAACATCCTCAACTTTTAGGATGTATAAGTTGGGTTTGAGATCCTGAGTCACTCCTTTACACTTTGTCCAAAGTGCAACTAAATGTATGTGACCTTGTTGAGTAAAACCCTTCTCTGAGCTTTGTGTTATGGTTTAAAATGCACTGGTCTTCAGGTGAAATTAGTGGGTGGTGAGATTTGTCTTTTTCTGCTTTTCTAATCTCTTACACCTTTGAAAGCTTTCATTAGTAGCTTTGAGTTCTGGCTCCTGCATTAAATTCCATTAACAGCTAACTGGAGGCCCACTAAAAACAAAATCATATCAACCAGCCCAAATTGCAGCTGATTTTGTTGTTGAGCCCTGCCTTAGTTGTTGAGATTCATCAAATTGCCTCAAGAATGTATTAATTTCAGCAAATTGGTGATTATTATAATTTGCACACTCAGCCAAGTCCTAAACTTTTTTTCTGTTTAGCTTGGCATTGGCAAAGTTATAATTAAACAAACTTTGTGCAAAGTTTAAAAAAAGAAAAAAAAAACTACTCTTTATATAATAGCATATGCAGTGGCTTGCAAAAGTATTCGGCCCCCTTGACCTTTTCCACATTTTGTCACATTACAATCATAAACATGAATCAATTTTATTGTAATTCCACATGAAAGACCAATGCAAAGTTGTGTACACGTGAGAAGTGGAACAAAAATCATACATGATGCCAAACATTTTTTTACAAATAAATAACTGAAAAGTGGGGTGAGTGTAATTATTCAGCCCCCTTTGGTCGGAGTGCAGTCAGTTGCCCATAGACATTACCTGATGAGTGCTAATGACTAAATAGAGTGCACCTGTGTGTAATCTAATATCAGTACAAATACAGCTGCTCTGTGACAGCCTCAGAGGTTGTCTAAGAGAACATAGGGAGCAACAACACCATGAAGTCCAAAGAACACACCAGATAGGTCAGAGATAAAGTTATTGAGAAATTTAAAGCATGTTCAAGGCTACAAAAATATTTCCCAGGCCTTGAACATTGCACGGAGCACTGTTCAAGTGATCATTCAGAAATGGAAGGAGTATGGCACAACTGTAAACCTACCAAGACAAGGC